TGGCCCAGGGCTGACCCCTGCAGTGCAGCACTGGTTTCCAGCTGGACTTTTTGCCCCTGAGCACAACCCTCTGAGCCTGGCAGTTTGTTTGGCCACTTTCCAATTCACATCATTGTCAACTTGCCTAGTCCGTATTTCATTACTTTCTCTTTGCTGATGTAACGGGAAGCATTGATAAAAGTCTTGCTAAAGATAAACTTTCACTGTTTTCTCCTCCTACACCAAGTTAGTAATTTTGTTGCAGAAGGTTATCAAGTCAGTCAGGCATGGTTTTCCCTTTGCAAATGCACACTGACTACTCCAAATAACCCTTCTGTCCTTAATGTCTTTGGAAGTGATTTACAGGATTATTTTCTCCATCATCTTCCCATGGATCAAGGTGAAGATAAATGACCTATAATTTCCCAGATACTCCTGCTTGTCCTTCTTGAAAATAGGAGTGACTCTTGCTTTCTTCTATTTCTCAGGACTCTCCCAGTAGCTTTGGCCTTTGTAAAAGATGATAAAAATCAGCCTTACAGTGTCATTGGCCAACTCCCTCAGCACTTGTGAGTGCATCCTATCATGTCCCATAGACTTGTATAAGTCTGGTTGTTTTGAAATGTGGCTTTTGCAGGATAAGGTAGATAAGGTGTGGAAGGGATTTGGAACATATTGTTTCTGTGAATTGTGCTGGCTTTTAACTAAGTTTTGCCTGCCTAAGAGTGTGTACTGTAGTTACAATATAATTCAGGAATAAATAAATTACATTTTCTCCTGTAAGGAGAAAAGAAGTAATCAAGAGCAGAAGTCACTATTTATGTGACTATTGTCACTTTGACTTACATTTTCAAGTATTCAGCTCCAAAAAGACACAAAATATTGTGTTGTTCCTTCTTTTTTTTTTTTTAATCTCCAAGCATTAACAAATCTACTTTTAGAAAGGTAATCCTTTCTGAAAAATACAAATCCTAAGCCTTCCTACCTTGAATCACATACAGAAAATTTATTAAACTGTTCATAAATTGAAGTGAATTGATGCATGTATAAAAATAAATAATTGCATTAGTTTACACAGATATATAGCTGCACATCTGTATCCAGACATGTTCACTGTTACAAACATTTAAAACATTCTCATGGTGTTTTCCTTAAAGGTTCAGCTTCCTGAGTCATGTAATTACATGGGTCTCTATTTGCATTTCAAATAAAAACTAGTTCTTGCCTGACATATTCAAAGACTCCAATGCAATATAAACATTGTTTGAAACAATGAGTATTTCAATGCCTGAATAACAGGCAAGAATGAGAGGCAAAGCACCTAAGTGCTTTTTAAGTTTTATCAAAACACAAAACCAGCTAGCTTTCAATTTCATTTCTTTTAAGCCAATACCTCAATTATTTCAACTTCCTCACCAGTTTTGGCAGGAGATTATCAATACCTGCATTGTGATAGGAATATTAAAAACTGCAGTAGAAGTGGGGACAAGTTTGAAATGCCTCAATTTTTTCCTTTAATCTCTACAAGCCTATCTGAATTGAAGGTTGTGGCATGGAGAGGGGCAAGGGTAATTGCAATAAGAAAAGCCAAACACAGAGTGAACTGAAGCAGGAGGAGGCAGGTTTCTCTGGCTCACAGGATTTTTCAATCTACATGGTGCCTTCTGAATACTTACAAAGCTAAACTAATGCAAATGAAAGGGTCTTGGTATGGAACTGGAGCCCCTGAACAGCTCCTGCATAGGGACCAACCTCCTCCCTGTCAGATTCAAACAGCAGATGGAGTCCCTCAGGCTCAGATGAGTGTTTTTCACAGCAATAGTTATATCATATTAAATTAAATTTGTCTCTAAATCTTTACTCTATGTAAGAATTAATCCTCATGAATGACTGTAAAATATATAATCGCTTGAGGAAAAAGTCTATCTGGGATTAAACTGAGCAGTTAGACTTAACTGAGATAGGCTACAGCATGTATCCTGGAGCAGTTCCTCAGGGCTCTGACACCTGGGTCAACCAGCATGAGCCAAGAGACAGTGAGCAGGGAAAGCACCTCTTCTTGCTCACAGAAAATCATGTCTGCACAAAAGTCACACAATATTACTGACAGCTTGTATAGTCTTGTGCAGGGAAATAATTTCTTCTGAGGTGAAGATACCCAATTTTAGCCTCTGTGCTGAGACTTAAAAGTGCAATGAAAACGTCCTTTAGTGGTAGTATCACATAGCACTATGTACAGAAAAAATACCAACCCAACCTTCCTCCTGTGGGAGGGCAGGAAAGTAATATTCTGAGAAGGAAGGTGTAGAGTAGGATAGGCATTTGGATAGGGTAGAGAATTAGAATAGAATAGAGAACCAGTTGGCAGTAATGGCAGAAGTGATCATAATGTGACCAGAAGCTTGGCTGAAGCCACCGACCCATATCAGTTATGCCATCTGGCATGTGACAAATTCATTTCAGTCATCACTGACTTGGGCTGCTTTAAAGTGAGAGATGGAGCAGCAAAGGGCTCTGTGTCTCATTGCTAATACTGTGTTTCCAACAGAGTAGCCAGATTGTGATGTTGATATTTGTTCTTTCTTTCCCCAGTTTAGAAGAATTAAGACTTCGGGAAAACAAAAAGTTGTTAAGAAATACACTGGTTATTTGATTGTACTAACAAAACTGGAATTTTTCTCTTATTATGATAATTATGTCAACTAAATCTGTGGATGTTTGCTTTATTATTACATTTGTCAACATCTGTCACTGTAAAAATCTCTGATAAATGCCCTCAATTTCTCTTCTAGAGTAATGTCATTAGCCTCTAAGTGAACAAAATACTTAATTTGTTGCCATAGCAGTGGAGTTTAAGAAATACATGGTGACCTGCATAAAGAATTAGCACAAATTTGATAAGCATGCACTAAGACTATTATAAAATCAGAGACTGGATATGCTGCTCTAAGAGGTACAGTCTTTGTGACAGCTAACATGCCAAGTTTGTGAAAATTAGCACCACCCTAGCTGAATTATATCACCCCTGCAAACAGCTGGGATTTTCCTTACCTTTAATATCAGACTTGTGCAGAATTGACTATTACCACCTACCTACACGGCTAAAATAAAAGCACATCATAGTGGCAGTAATGCTTTAGGAATCAGAATGACAAGTGTCAAAATACTGCCTTCTTAAACCTATCACAGCATCATGGCCCAAAGGCAAGGAAATGAACAGAGAAATCAAGAAGACCAGATACTTACTTTGCTTTTATCTTTCTACACTCAAGTAAAAACATTTGTAAGAGGTCTCTGCTGGGCAAAAACAGAGGGCAAAAGAAGGCATGAGACTTTCCACAAAGAAGTGAGGAGAAAGCATGTGACACTCAATGCTGCTGAAGTCCTTGGTGTTTTACCACACCTGTACCAAGTTTGTGACCCATGCCAGGGTCAAGACCCTGGCTCAGTGACAACTAAAGCTGACCTTGCTCCTGCATTTGAAGGCTGTCTCCCTAGGAGCCAGCAATCTGTCTAGTCTCTCCTCCAAAATGGTTTGCTCCACACAGGAATCTAGCAGTAACCTAAGACGAAATAAAGGGTGGTCTATCAGAGACAGGAACCTTGGTAGAAACAAAAAGTGAACTAACTTGACAGAAATGGGACACTCCTAAAGCAGCCTGTAGGAAAGCTGCTGCACTTCACATGGGAATGTATTTTTCTCATCTGCAGATCCTTACAAATTGTCCTATCTATTGCAAATTCAGGCCTCCTAACAATTGCCTAATATTCCCCAACTACTTTTTGCAGACCCAGAGTGTTTATGGACCATAAGCTGAACACTACCTCGCCTCTTAATTTAAGTATAAACTCATCCAGAGCATCTATTCTTAAGAAGAGACAGCAGAGTGACTGAAAGACACTTCCACTTACTCATGAGTATTTTACTATGAGTACACTGCAGCACATTATCACAAAGCATGTAAATGTTACGAAGTTGAATTCAATACAAGATCTTCTGCCTTACCTGGAATGGCTGCTACTTGCGTTCCAATGGAAGAACAGGCTTCAACCACTTACCCTTAGGTATGTGTTGCCTGTGCTACTACTTATATTGAGCTTAAAACCAGCTTTGGCCCCATATGCAAGAAACGCAAACCATTGATGTAGAGATGCCATGAGAAGCATGGCAGGGAACCATCCTTCAGCTGTTTCCACCTCCTGCTACCCTGCTGCCTTACCTTGGGCAAGCATTCATGTTTGGTGCTCCCATCTAGATGTGGAATTACAGGAGGGACTTTCTTTGCAAAGGACTCCACTGATGTCCACACACAGAACTCAGCATCACTCAGGGAGCACTGAGTGGTACCCATCAGGCTGCAGGTAGAGTGCTGTAAAATAACAAACCGACCAACCATTTCCACCAAACACCTTGGGTAGCTGTAGGAAGCCTGAGGAAAAAAACAGCTGTTGGAGCCAGAGCCCTGGGCACCACTGGCTGCACATATCAGCCCATTTCTAGATGAACTGTGGCTGGTTTAGACTAATAAATAAACACCCTTGCACTTAATGAAGAGTATAAGCTCATTCATACCACACTAACAGCAGTAAAGGTGCCTGCAATGACCTGGCTTCTCTCCTTTTCATCTTGGTTTTCTACGCACCACATTCCCCAGAGCTTCCAGTCCCAGGGTTAAAGATCCATATGCAATTAGTAAAGAAAGCTATATGAAGACTGAAGTATTTTCAATGCCTGTAGAATGTAATCATTAGTACTTTTAGGAAGAAATGCTTGAAGTGGACTTAAAATCTGAAAAAAAAAAAGTATTTGCGAGAAACACTTACATTTTAAGTAGCTCTTCAGGTAAGTAGTTTCTAAAAATTATCACTGCTTCAATAGAAACATCCCTATATATCTGTTACCTCATTTCATCCAACACAATTGTCAGTGCTTCACTCACATCCCCCAAGTACGTATTATAACCAGGGAATCTTATTACTCATTGCCATAATTTAAGAGGACAAGTACAACAACTGAAATGTAATATCTTACTGATTTATTTAAACATTACTAGGTGAGAGAAGGATAATGAAATCAGATACAGGACAAGCAGATACACTGAAATGTTCAAAGCTGATTTTTACAAAAGATTCTGCAAAATTGCCTTATTATTCCAAAGGATGCACTGACAGTGTGCAGGAGCAAAACTTCAGATTGCTTGTCCAAGTGCCTTTCAGTTACTGGCATTGCGTTTTCTCTGAATTCCAGGAATGCAGGCACATATCCAACACTCATTCAAATCTGTGGGAAACTTTCCACATACACAAGTGGGCTTTCATATCAGACTGTTCAACTAAGTGACAAAGCTATAATTTCTTGGAAAAAAATAAGTGAGTATGACTTTCTTTAAACACTCAGGATAAATGTTTCCATTCTCAATCTGAAACCTTCAGTCATGGTTACAAGGCTGAAGGGAACTCAGACCATTTATCTGAAAATCATACTTTAGAAGTACAGCAAGTACAACACTTTCACACATTCACAGCCCTACTTTCATAATCTGTTTTCACATTAGATATTACAAATTACTTAATGGAATTTTAAATTATATTCTGCTAATACTTAAGCATCAAAAAAGGTTCATAATCTGTATTTTCTTGCAAGAACAGACTTGAAATTATTAGAAGACATTCTTTTATTACACATACAATGTGGCATAATGAGTGTTATTTACTGCACTTTTCTCAAATTTAATCTAGACTTCAAAGTATTTATCACAGTAATTGCAAATAGCAATAAGGGGAAAATCTCTCAAAAATCTTAATCTAATATAAAAACTGAAAATAAATTGAAATACCTGACAATCATGACCTGCAGAAAAACATTTATCCTGGTGGAAGAGAAACACATCAAAAGAACACATGTAAAGAGAAACTCTCAAGAAATTAGTCCTAAATTCTCTGAGATTTAGTATGAGATGACTATAAATTTTTTTCTCTGTATATTTTCCCATTTATTTACTTTAAACTTTTCATGGTACCTGTATGTGCAGACAGGATGCAGGAACAATGCATCCTTTCTGCATCCAACAATGCATCCAACAAAACCATAGATCAAAGGCAAAGAGCAAACTCATTTTTGTCACCTCACCAACCAGGGATCACCAAAGCAGTGGACAGGAGAGGCACACAAATGGGAACACAGGCACTGCAAAACGTGGTCCATGGTGGAGGATCACCCAACCTGCTGCTTTTTCCTGTATTTCAGGGATTCACACAAGTATAATTTACCACTGTGCTTTAATCTTGCCCACAGGAGGGCAGGATTCTCAAGCATGTTTGATAGGGTGCCTCTAAGTCTACCAAAGGTCTACGTTTCCTGGACACAGACGTTCTACTTGTCCAAAACACAAGGTCAGACAACAATCAGTATGATATATGTGTTTTTCAACAGCCAAACTGCAAGTCACTTGAGCATGTTTACAGTCCTCCTCATTGATCTTCCACTTCTCACAGTACCTGATGGCAGATCCAGACTGGTCCATGCAGCAGTGATGGCAGAGCAGAGCTGCACTATTTTGTATCCTTACACCATTGTACATCTGGGTCCAGTTCTACAGTACCTGCAAAAGCTTTCTGGGACCTGGCCCATGGGATGAGTGACAGTATGGGAACAGGGACTTTCAAGAGAGACCAAGTTTGGAGTATCACAGTTTATTGTAGCCTTTATATCTTCATCTTGAAGGTATGTTTTCTATTTCTTTTTATAGCTTGAAAGGTGGCACAAGAACCACCCAGCTGGTCCAAGAATTGCCAGTGAAGCTGCTGAAAATCCAATGATTGTCTCCTAAATTAAAGAAACAAGGTTAAATAAAGCTCAACAAATTGAATTTAGTTCCCAAACTAAGATGTCTGTTGCCAAGCAAATTATGTGGTATTATTGAACTTCTGCCGCTATAATTCCAGAGATGTGACAGACTCCAAAGGAAAAATAATCCACAGAGGATCATTTTACATGTTTGAACTAAAAGCACTAGCAATCCATGGCAGTTGGAAAGAAAAGTATCTTAGTCCATTCCTTGCACAAACATGCTTATACAAGACACATTTAAAACAGTAAAAGGCACAGTAAAAGATATTAGGCAAATGTCTTATTTTCCTACAGATTCAGTACATTTTGTGCCTATTTCTTCAGCTTCTTATAGCTTCTTATAAATAAAATCTTTATAGAAATGGTATTATTGGCTTAATAGTTACAGTAGCACAGTTTACCACTGTTCAGTTTACCAGAGCTTTGAGTACTGGGAGGTGATACAATAGGGCAGAGAGTTGCTGCTTAAGTTTTAGTTAAATAAATTTAGTTGGTCTTCTATAATCACATGCTGGAATACTTGTGCTGGGGACTATAATCAAAGATTATAAAAGGCACCCCACAGAAATGGATTTTGTGACATGTCTCTGTAGGATGCTAGGACAGCATTCCCTTCCTCTCAGGCACAGATTTCCCCTCTAGGAAGTGTGAGGAGACAAATTTCTTTGAGGAGTGGAGGGAGTTCCTGGGGAGAGCTGGCTTCTAGTGGGGATGAAGAAAACAAAAACAAAAATAACAAAGGCTCAAAGACAGAACTCACCAGCAGTCCCACTTTATCCTCAGGTGGGGAGCTGTGGATCCAGCGACTGTTCCAAGGGGCAGACCTGAAGCAGAGGAGTCGGGATCCACAATGCATCACAGGGCCCATTGTTCCAGCCCGGGGAGGAGAGAGCACCGCTGGGATATCCTGACTAACAGTGACTACTGCTGCCGGGAATTTCTCAGCCCTTTGTTATTTTCTATTGCTCAAAGCCTGTAGAATGATGAATTCTCTTCAGTGAAGAGTGCTTGACAGTCAAGTCCCTTCGTTTTTAAGCTGGGTGCAAGAAGCACCAAGCCAGTTCCCGGGTCAGCAGCAGCAGCAGCAGAGGGTCTGTGCCCGCTGCTGGGCGAGGCGCACCTGGGGATGCGCAGCCCCTCCCACGGCCCCTTTGGGTTACGCTGCTGAGCCCAGGCGATGGGAGGAGTCTGTCTCTGCTGCTCTTGCCGTGAGCAAAATTGAGAAAGCTGTCTGTCTTCTCGTCTACAAGAATTTTAAAAGTCTTTTTTTCCCCTATGCATATGTGTCTCCGCACAAATTGCTCGCACCCCAATTAAACACTCTCTGGAATTCCTGTTTGCTGCTCACTTACTGAGTTCATTCAAGAAACTGACCCATAAATGACCAGTGCCTTGAATAAAATACTTCCCTGCTCCCACTGCAGAGAATATCTCCTTCTTGCACATTCCACCCAAACCATCATTACTCCGTGTGTACAGTGGAGCTGTGAGGCTTCCCTGCTGAGAAAGCAGCCTGCCTGGGTGCAGGATCGAAGCAAAATGTGTGATATGGTAGCAGGCAGAGGCAGAAAAATGTTATCAGCATTTCTAGTAGGAAATTATTTAAGCACACAAGTAGCTGGGCAGACACAGAGATGGACATGTCTACTCTTCTGCATGCAGAACTGGAGAGCTACAGTGCCATGGCACTAAACCCAAGCTCAGGAGCTGTTAGCCCAGGAACAAGTGCTGTGCTCCTTAGCAACTCTTGCAAACTGAGGCTGGTTTATAGCTAGTCAGCTTTCAGCCACAGCAATCACACATCTGACACTGTGCATATGTGTTTAAAATGTGTTACTTGTACACTCGGAGGTGGAGAGACAGGGAAGTAAATAATCCTCCCCTCAGCTATGGACTGTGCCATTTCCAATATGGACATCTTTGATAGATGAATTCTGTGCCTGTTATATGCAGACATGAAAATTTTTACTCAGCTGCAGTAAACAGGTGATTTATTAGATTTCTTACTCATTTCTAAATACATTTTATTAATTTTTGCTGTCCTTTCTCCTGTTTTTAATTATCAAATCCTGAATCAGATAACTATAACATTCTTCTCTAGGCTTCTCATCAGAGAACACCCTTGAAGCCCACTTCCAAGACAGCCTGCAACACACTGATGGTGAGGAGAGCCTCAGCATGAGGGGTTTTTGACAATATCCAGACTATGTCAGCAAGATGTGAAGAGCAAAGAGTTAGAAGTCTACACAAACAAACAGTGGTAGATCACTGGTTAAACAGACATACCTGGCATATTATTTGCCAGAGCCGTGGTTTTGTTATCTCAGTAAATTTAATTACTTGATTTTATGGAGGACAAGACAAGTTTTTTTTCCCTGTAAATTCTCTCCAAACACTAAATATCCTACCTGTCTGTAACAGATACAGAACTTATCCAGAAATAAATATGTCTGAAAGATGTGTCTAAAGTAACCAGAAAGCAAGACTGATTTACATTCATCAGCTGAGGCAATAGCAACTAAGCACATGGTGGATAACTCTAAGCAACCAAACTTCCTGTGACAGACCCTCTAGCAGCAAGAGATTGTCTTAGATATGATACATGATATTTTAAAATAATAGAGTTTGAGTTCTGTTACTTGTTTTCAGGTATTTGCTTTTGTGTCTCATGTTCTCTACATTGACTCTCTTCTTCTCTACAGTTGTGAGGATTGGAAACTTCATAAATTTGTGCTGAGATTCTCTTTTCTATCTCCTGCTAAGACTACTCTAGCATTAATTCCTATATTAAAATGAAATTAAGCACTGTCCTACAATAGCAACAGTTCCCTCTAATTATTCTTGCTATGCTTGGCTCTTATTTTTCAGTTTTCTGAACATTCATTAGAAAATTAGATACAATCTTATTTTTCTATCAAATCTTCTGTGGGAATGAAAGGATTAAAAATGAAAGCTTGGCAAGGAGAGAGGAAAATAAGTTGTTGCAAGCACTGTTTTCACTCAAAGACCAACCTCACACCTGGGAGATATTTTTCTCAGTGTGAGAAAATTCATGTATTTGTGTTCAATTTGGGTTGTTTTCTGTCTGCCATAGAAGAGCTTTCTCACCCAGATAACAAAGTGTTGTTAACAAACATAACAGCATTCCTCAGACAGCCTGGCGGCCTTTTCGTAAGGGGGAAGGGAGATAAGAAGTTCAGAGATTGTAAAATAAAACCTGGGGAAGATTTGTGCATGCCCAAGAACACTTTTATTTTTCTGTAACACAAGACTCAGACCTAGACACACTTTGCCCTTGATAAAATGAGCTTAGCATCATATGTGTCTCCATTTGATTTTGGAATCCTCCAGCCAGTGAAATACTGGAATACATCTATTTTTTGCACTTCAGCTGTGAGCTGTGGTCATCTTGGTGTTTCCTGCATGTATTTGGTTCACAGACCTTCCAGGAACTGAGCTGTAAATCCAAACCACTCTTCCCCAAATCACAGCCCCTGCTCAGAACAGTGTTGCACCCTGCCACTGACAGCCAGACCACTGCTATTTTCACATGGCACTGAACAATATTTGTCAAAAGGGTCCCCCAAAAGGCTCAGCTGCTCTTGGCTCAGCACTGGCCCTTTTGTTCCTCACTCAGTCTGTCTCATTCAGTGCCTGGGGATGCTCAGCCTGCTCCAGCCTCCTCCATACTTGCATTGACAACCCTCCAGATAGCACTTATACACCACTTGTGAACATCAGGAGTTTTCTCACATTAAGTTTAGATTTGGAAAGCCTTTTGCTGTTCCTAGCTAGATTTGTTATTGGTCCCTTCAGAATGGCAGGAGGACTTCAAAGCTCTCCTGGCACAGCTTATCCAGGTGCTTTCTTCTTCTTGGCTACCATAAAAATACATTCTGTATTCTTCCCAACATATGTGGGATTTTCCCAAATCCCACAGGGTGGTTCCTTGCTCCTTCACTCTTTCAGAGCCCTGTTTTTAAGAGTATTTGTTCTTTAGACTGCTGTCATTGGAATAATTTGCTGTTGAATTGCTGAGGTCCCTTGCTCACTAGCTAGAACCTTTTCCTCACACCTTAGCTGGGAGGGCAGGTCCTAGGGCAGCTTCTCTGATCACTGGTACAGTGATACAGGTATTAACATTCCCATTAGTGCCAGTGCACAGCACTTTCAATTAACATAGAGACAGTGTGACCCCCTGATTTGTAGCTCATTTTCTCCCTCATTTGCTCCTGGGGGAAGATTGTAGATAACAGCGTAAGGCTGTATCAGCAGTTTGATTTCTGTGTGAGGCTACTTGTTTATTTTATTTTAAAAGGAGAGTTGAGTGTGGAGGAAGTTAATGCTGGGTCATATTTTCCATGGTACTTGGTTTCAGAATATCATCTCCTCAGATGAACCAAGCCTGCTGCACAGAGAGTTGTTAACCCTCCCTGGACATAAACATTGGAACTCTCATTTTAAAGAGAATAGAACATACAGAACTAAACAGATGTTGAAACTTCTCTGAAAATTGTCATTCAGTATCCTGAATGTTCAGATCCACAGTCCTGATAAAATTACTCCAATGACATTATTGAAGAGAGAATTTTTAACCATTGGCAGTTTTTTGGGGTTTTTTTCCTGGTGTGTCTATAATAATATTCTCACAAATAAATCTTTTGATGTTATATTCGAAAGATTATTTGTGATTGTCTTTGCTTTTTCACAGAAGGAAACATTTTGGTAGGAATGAACAAGTTTCTGATCTATCACTGCCATAAATAAAGATGCATCAAAATACAGAAGAATTCAAAACACTACTCTTACAGCAATATAACTTTAGGACAATTGTACTGATGGTGATATTTAACCTGTAGAACTATGGTGAAATATAAGAATTTAATTTGAAAATGAAGTAACTATAATTGCCTTGAAGATTGTTGAAGTCTGGGGTTTATTTTCTTTTAATGAGAAATTTCTAACATTTTAACTTTCCCTGCAGAAGTTTCATATCTGGAAGAAAATAAATTCTATTTCTACTACTTAGACACATTTTTTTAAGCTGCCTTCAATAAAATTAAATACATTTGACATTTATAAATGTGCCTGATATCAGTAATATTTTTTCCATAAATTGCGACCCAATAATAATTATAGTAGAATAGGAAGGATTTGGTGGTGATTCTACTGTTTCTTCTTTAGATACAGAACAACATGCTTTACAATAGACACAATCTAGATGAGTTATAACATAAATTCATGACTTTTCCTTTCCGAACCTTAGTGGAACACTTCTTTAAGCTGTACAGGAAGCACCTGTGGAAGCAAAGGTTGGATAATTTTTTTTAATGCAGCAATGGGACTTGGCCAAGGTGAATGGACCCCCGGGCAGGGTAACCCGTGTGTCCCCGGGCCGTGTCCTGGGCGTTGGTGCCTCTGCAGGGTGCACACCATCACCCAGGGCCAGCACAGCCCAGCCCCGCGCCCCTTTCCCAGAGGAGAAGCTTGAGTGAAGTTTCTCCTGAATTTCCAGAACGTACCAGAGAGAAGAATCAAATGCTGGGATCAGATGCTGCATGTTAATAATCCAGAATACATATTGCTCAAGAGCATTGCCCAAGCTGCCTTAATAACACTGAAGTCATCACTGTGTTTTGAATAAACAAACCATTTACAAGCTAATTATAGATAGCATTTTGCCTTGAGCATTTACTGAGTATTTGATATTGTACAGGTTGTTTCTGAGCAGAAAAAAAAATTGAAAGTAGGTATTTCTTTAACATAATCCTTCTAAGAAAAACAGCTGATTAATTCTCATGTCCTTGAACACAGACATACAAGAGTGCTTGTTCATAATTCTACAGCTGTTTTGATTTTAAAGAAAAAAAAATGTTAATAATGTCCTTCCTTTCAGTTCCTGTCTCCAGTGAATTCATCCCCCAAGGTTTATCAAATTATCAAAATTAGGAGCATGGACACCATAAATTCTTTCTATCATTGTTTTTGATTTCTTCAGTTATAAAGATCTTCCCTTTCTACCAGTGTGGACTTAAAATCTGAATCTAAAATGTATATTGCCTTCTTCCTCTACTGACTTTAAGAGAGGCTGTGCTCCTAACAAAGACAATGTGGTTAAGTAACGACATTTGATAGCCCAAATCAATGCCTGACTAGTCCTGGGCTAAGAAAATCAAACAAGGTTTTCACAATTGGTGTGGGCCCTTTGCATGGATCTACCATTATCACTAATCAATGAGAATGGGTATTTCTAAGCACTTATGAATTTCCTGGAAAGAATGGCTGGTACATTATATTACTACAGGTCTTGCTTCAACATTTAATAAGTCTGCTATGCATAGCGTGTATTAAAAAAAGGTGAAAGAATTTGCCATGTATTACCCCAAGTACCATAGATATAATAACAATGACATAAGAAAACAATGGATCTAAGTGCAAAGACATGTAAGTACTGAGGAGAAATGCCAGCAAAGAGGAAAGGAGAGAGAGGGGAGCAGTGAGGAAGGTTATGAGGGATCTTGAGATCAGAGCCTGCTTCTTCAGTTCCTACTCTCAAATCCATTACATTTTATAAATATCAGTAGACAAATGGATAAACCAATCCATTGGTGTCACACAGAGATCATTTTTTAGTGGTTCCACTTAGGCACTGAGGCACTGCAGAAATTGGGATGCTGCTCTTGCTTTCAGAACCTGATTGTCAATTTGTGTAAGACTTGAAGATAACTCCACATCCAGTTGTCAGAAACTCATTCTCCATCCCAAATTGTATTTATGGCATGTGAAGGCTGAAGAGCAATCAGGCTCAGCCCTCTTGCTGTGAGACTGTTCAAGGGGAGAAAGAAGAGAATCATTCAGTTTATCAAAATAAAATCTCACCATTTGGTTTACTGCCTGAACAGAGCACATGTGAATAATGGAGACAACTTCCTAGGTGAATAGGTAAAGCCCAATCTAATGTTCATGTGCCTTGGTCAAGGGCACAGCACTTCAAGAG